GCTTAATGAGCACGTGCGACTGCGAAACCCGTGAGCGCGCCTCTGGTGGCCTGAACTCTGCAGACGCGTCAGGGAGTCAAACACGGAGACGTCATCAGCTGGAAAGCCTGAAACACCCCAGGGAGTGAGAGCAACACCGATGAGCTCTGTGCCGTTTGTGAATGAACAGGGAGTGATGCGCGCAATGCCCGAGGGGATACTGTCACAGTTAATTGGCTGACCCTGGGGATGGCAGTCAGACGTGGGAGGTAAAAAGAGCCCGCTCAGACAGTCCGGCCTCGGACACACAGCTTCCCGTCACTCAGACCACTGCAGGTAACACGCTTCCTCACAGCGGGATCGCCGAGCTCCGATTCACAGGTAATACTCCCGATTTTCCTCTGACAGCAGAGCTCCGAAGATTCAGGATCACGCTGATATATGTACAATGACATGTAGGTGCACTTTGGTGTGTGCTGGAGCAGGTCAAGGTGACGATGATGGTCTTGTTGCTGAAGTTAGACGGTGCTGCTGGTAGCAGATGTTACTCTCATGAGAAGAAGCAAGAGGCTTCCTGTGACTGACGGTGCAGCTGCCGTTACTGTCGGAGGGTCACTGAGGGTCCTGCAGATCAGGACGTGGTGACGTGTAAATAAAACAAATAGAAATCTGTGAAAACCCTTGGGCCGTAATTCAAACACACGTCCCGTAAAAAACAATCGTCTCGTATTCAGAGAAAATATTACGCGTTTCGTGTTGAGCTGAAAAGGAGCAGTTTTTCCCGAACTTCAGCTACAAAGGAAAAGACACGAAGCTGGATTTATGGATAAAAAGTGTTTGTTTTGTTTCAAAATAGCTGAGAACTATTCGCTGACAGCTGCCAACATCTGCGAACAAATATCATTCTGTAAAGTTTATATAGTGTGTAACTGTTCGTGTAGAGTGTTATTAAATTTATTGCTAATGCATCATATGGCACACTGACTGCTGAGGGAATTTTAGATGCACTCGTCATCAGAAAGGTTGCCGACCCCTGGTGTAAAGTAATAAACAGAGTCCATTTCTCAAAATCCCGTTTGTCTAAAATTTTCCTTCAATTATAGATCAATGTGACCTCCCCCTGCAATCCATATGTTTTCTTCTGTTGAAGAAGAAGTTTCTATGTTTGAACACATTTTGGGTTTTCAGAGGTTTTTGGATCCGATCCGAGAAGACCCTCTGACTGCCATATTTGGAGTTCCAAAGACCCTCTTAATATAACTCCCCAGCAAACTGAGATCGTGGCTTTTTGTTCCCTTCTTGCTAGACGCTGTATTTTACGCCTCCATCTGCATTGCAATGGCTTAATACTGTCCGGACATTCTTGAGGGTGGAGACGATCTCACTCACAGTGAAAGGTAGTCCTGCTAAATTTATCCACAAGTGGACACTTTGTGGAATATCTCAGATCTTTTCCTTAGAACAATGTGATTTACCCACCTGCAACTAGATTGAAAAGAATTTGAAATTTACTCTTTTTTTAAGGTAGGCACAGGATTTAAGCCCCGCCCCCTCTATTCTTTTATTTGTATTTATTTATTGTTTAATTTTATTTATTTTTACTTTATTTTATTTATTTATTTAATATTTTTTCTAATTTACTAACTTTTTTCTTCATTTTTTTCTCTCAATTTTCTGTTCTTGATGTTTAAAATTGTAAAATTTCTTAAAATTATTTTAATTTGTCTTTGTTTAACAAGAAAAAGTTAAAATGATTTGGAAATAAATATTTGAGAAAATATGTCATGTAAGATACATGTAACTCCGAAATGACAACACAGGCACGGCTTCTTCAGGACGGGCGCTTCGCTGCATTTATTGAACGCCGTGAAAACTACAAACATAAAACACAAAGGCTTTAAGCGCTTCAGTCTATCAAAAGTAACACTTGTGCTTTAACAACAAAAATTACCTCGTGGCCGCCTGCCACTTCGGAGGTCCTAGAAGAATAGCTTTACAGTCTTGTGCATTCTAAATTAAAACATAAAATAATTAGAACACCACACATTACAAATTTTCACAATATTACAATACAGTTATGGCAAATGACAAATACCTTGTACCGCTGGTAGACTAACCAGGCCTTTGCAGATAGCTCGCTGAACTCCTTAGCGTGATTATTAAACGTGGGCTCACAGCCTATACTATCACGCCCAAACCTCGCGATAATAGCGGTGTAACAAAACTTGTTCTTTGTGACAAGATAAACACACCCTTACAATGTTGACCACAGAAACGTACAAGCAAGAACATTTTAACTGCTGGAACCATCTATTAAACTTCTTTATACATAAGCCATTTCTGTGACACTTACAATACATACAATACAATGTATATAAGTTTGTATTGTTTGTTTCACAAGCAGCACAGAGGAACATCTGGTCTCAGTCCAGACATGGAGAGTTCAGAACGAGCAGATATTTCAGTGTCGAGCAGATGTGTCTGCTTTAGACTTTAAATACTTCCTGCTTAGTTTCTGTGAAAACAGTGAAGCGTGTAGATGGATTTGTCAGGAGAGGAACTGAAGCTGTGGTGTTTCCTGTAAACTGATGAACTGATGTGTGTTCAGATGGAGGCAGAGATTCAGCAGATCCTGGTCCAGGTGTCGGAGCTGCAGCACCAAAGGAAAGTTCACTTCCTGCTTCAAAAAATCCGATCTGCTCCCCAAATCTGAAGGCCTACACACACCGCCAAAGAAACACCACAAAATCCTGAATTTTCTGGTTCTGAACTGGCCGTGCAACTCGTACACACTGAGTACGGCATTTTTCTGTCCTCTAAGCGTCAGCAGCATCAGTGAGGACTTCCTGGTCTGGTCCAGGAGCTGAAGCTTTGCTCCGCATATCAGCACGTGGCACAGCCTGGAGCTGAATCTGGTCAAACACAATTATTTTACTGTGTCAGTATCAGTGTGTGTAGAGCTGTGAGAGACACATCGACATGTGACAATCAGAAACATGGAGCCTCTTTGTTGCTGCTGCATGAACAGATGAGTCCCAAAAACACTTAGAACACATAAAATATTTGTAGGATTTTATGTGTCAGGTGTGTGAAGGCTTTCAGAGAGACAACTGCACAGATATTTTCAGACTGAAGGATTTATCCTGTTGTGTTCTTCCTGCAGGCTGCAGTCACAGTCTGTGGTTGTAAGTATCAACATTCATTTACACTCAGTTTTATTCATATGGCACCAAATCACAACAGCAGCCTACGTCTATTGCAGCATAACTAAGGGAGGATTCAGGGTCACCTGGTCCAGCCCTAACTATATGCTTTAGCAAAAAGGAAAGTTTGAAGCCTAATCTTGAAAGTAGAGATAGTGTCTGTCTCCTGAATCCAAACTGGAAGCTGGTTCCACAGAAGAGGGGCCTGAAAACTGAAGGCTCTGCCTCCCATTCTACTTTTAAATACTCTAGGAACAACAAGTAGGCCTGCAGAGCGAGAGCGAAGTGCTCTAATAGGGTGATATGGTGCTACAAGGTCATTAAGATAAGATGGGGCCTGATTATTTAAGACCTTGTATGTGAGGGGCAGGATTTTGAATTCTGGATTTAACAGGAAGCCAAAACAGGAGAAATCTGCTCTCTCTTTCTAGTCCCTGTCAGGACTCTTGCTGCAGCATTTTGGATCAGCTGAAGGCTTTTCAGGGAGTTTTTAGGACTTCCTGATAATAATAAATGACAGTCGTCCAGCCTGGAAGTAATAAATGCATGAACTAGTTTTTCAGCGTCACTCTGAGACAGGATATTTCTAACTTTAGAGATGTTGCACAAATGGAAGAACGCAGTCTTACATATTTGTTTAATATGTGCGTTGAAGGACATGTCCTGGTCAAAATGACTCCAAGGTTCCTCACAGCGTTACTGGAGGCCAAGGTAATGCCATCCAGAGGAAGAATCTGCTTAGATGCCATATTTCTAAGCTTTTCAGGGCCGAGTACAATAACCTCAGTTTGATCTGAATTAAGAAGCAGAAAGTTAGCAGCCATCCAGGTCTTTATGTCTTTAAGACATTCCTGCAGTTTAACTCATTGGTGTGTGTTATCTGGCTTCATGGACAGATAGAGCTGGGTGTCATCTGCATAGCAGTGAAAATGTATGCTATGCCTTCTAATGATGCTGCCTAAGGGAAGCATGTATAATGTAAACAGAATTGGTCCTAGCACTGAACCCTGTGGAACTCCATAATTAACCTCAGTGTGTGAAGAGGACTCTCCATTTACATGCACAAACTGGAGTCTATTAGATAGATATGATACAAACCACTGCAGTGCAGTACCTGTAATACCTACAGCATGTTCTAATCGCTCTAATAGGATATTATGGTCGACAGTATCGAACGCTGCACTGAGGTCTAGCAGGACAAGCACAGAGATGAGTCCACTGTCAGAGGCCATAAGATCATTTGTAACCTTCACTAAAGCTGTTTCTGTGCTGTGCTGAGCTCTGAAACCTGACTGAAACTCTTCAAATAAACCTCTGCAGATGATCTGTTAGCTGTTTGACAACTACTCTTTCAAGGATGTTTGATATGAAAGGAAGGTTGGAGATTGGCCTATAATTAGCTAAGACTGCTGGGTCTAGAGATGCTTTTTCAGTAAAGGTTTAACTACAGCCAGCTTGAAGGCCTGTGGTACATAGCCGATCATTAGAGATAGGTTGATCATATTTAAGATCGAAGAATTAATTAATGGCAGGACTTAGACACCTTCCATACATGAGTCTGCGCATATCCAAAAACATGACAGGAAAATAAGACGGCTGTCACGGTGAGCATACATATCCATGCACAGCATGCTGAGGTGTGCAGAGTTTTCAGCTAACAGCTCTTCAGCTGATGGTTCAAAAGTCTGGGTTCGACTCAGACTGCCACTGTTTCCAAAAGAAAGCATATTTCTGTTTCTGTAACTAGAAATGAATTTGAAATGTTGACAGTAACTCAGAGACCCTCTCTCAGCATCCATCACGCCTGATAGAGCGATAGATAGATCAGCTCTGCCCTCTGTTGGTGGTGCCGCTGCACTGCACTCAGGTCAGTTTTCAGCTGACTGTGTAACACTCAGTCAGGCTGCAGCTTCAGACAGGATGAAGGAGCAGCTCGTCATCCTCGCCGTGGCTCCGCTGTAGTGTTAGTAAGGGCCGTCCCTCAGCTGTAGTCAGTGATGTCAGACCGCAGGCTGGACTACATCGAGCTGCTCTGGCAGGAAGTGAGCAGGAATCCTCACGTGAGTCACCTCTAAGAAAATACTACTGCACTTACTACCACCACGTACTGTGTTTGATCAGTGTCACCCTCACGCTCCGCTCTGTTCATCAGCTGTCCAGGAGCTCATATTGATTTATTTTGGTGTGTGCACTGAGGGGAGACAAAGGTAAACGCCTTCCTGAGTAACGTGACTGCAGGTTTGCTGTAAATCTGATGTTTCCGTTGTTCAGCGTTGAAGCTGTGGGAAGTGTTTTTTTCATTGTGACTGAATGGTCGAAGGCAGCTGTTTGTCTCGCTTTCTCCTCAGAGGCTGCTGGATGTGGAGAAAGAGGAGGAGCAGGAGGAAGCCCCTCCACCCCGGAGGACCCTTCAAGCCCTCTGCTCTATCCCCCGGAGGCTGGCCATCTCTGCGGGGCTCGGGGGAACGCCGGTCACCCCCCAACTGATTGAGGTAAACACAAGGATTCAGAAACAGGTCACCTGACACCCAGCGGTGTCAGGTGACCTGTTTTCCTGTAAACACGATGAGCTCACCTGACCACAGATCAGCCGTGTTATGCGACTCCTCCACTTGGCTAAAGGGAGGCGGGGTTTATGAGGATACCAGGATGGAGGTGTGCAGGTGCTGAAACTCCAGCTCTATGATGTTATCTTTATGCAGTCAGACTTCTGCTTGAAACAAACAGTTTTAGTTCCTCCTCCTTTACACTAGTTTTATTATCATTGGCTGCCTGTAGCAAACAGAAGGTCTGAACAGAGCAGGGAGTGTTCAGAGCTGCTTTGACCTGTTGTTCCCCGTCAGGCTGCATTCAGGACAAACGACTGACCGATGACCTGTCTCTGTGTTGATGTCAGAGCCTGAGGAGGATTCTTCTGGGTGGAAACTTTCGTGTCTTCGACTACGAGTGGAGGAAAGCAGTCTTCCACTTCAGGGAACCAAACTCCGAGTTCGCATACGCTCTGAAGGCTGATGGGGTGAGAAACCAACTCTGCTTTTAAGATCAGGCTTCAAAGTTTCCTCTTTGCTAAAGCATGTAGTTAGAGCTGTTTGAGACGGAGAGACAGCTTCATCCATCAGGCTGTCAGGATGCTGAACTCTCTCACACACCAACTCCAGACCTGCATCCAGATGAAGTCTGAAGAAGTAAATCAGGAAAGAGAGAGAAAGGGAACGGAGGAATTAAAGTTAATATTTCCTTACAAATGTTATATGAATATCAGGAAAAGAAAAGCAGAAACTCGAACTAAACCTTTAGCTTTTTAACCTTTCTTAATTTTTTGATAAATTTTACATTATAATATTCTATATAATACAGGAGTGTTATTTATCCTCCAGTTCAGTGATGTACCTGATAAATAATGTTGAACGTTCTTACTTTCACTGTCACACAGCTGATTCAATTGTTAAGACCCTCTCAAATTTATTAAAAAAATGTATCACTCGTTCATAAAGAAGAAGGTAACTACGTGTGTCGTTTCCACAACACTGCTTTCCTCCCAAGGTGCCCAGAGCCGCTGAAAGGAACGCACGGACACTTGGGCCTAAAAGTTTACCAAGCTCCACACAACGTTTTCCTTCGCGTGGTTGAACGTAGCGCAGCTGTAGGCTTCGTTTTTATTGGCTGCGTGAAGGTACGTCACAGCACGCGGCGGTCAAAATTCACCCGCTGATTGTGTGAGCACTCCTGGCTCAGCGCAGCGTTAAAACGTTGTTGTGCAGCACGAGCAATAGAAATGAACGGGCTTCAGAGCGCGGTGCGTGCCGCGTCCCGTGTGAAAGGGCAGGTAGACTACAGAATGCGCTCACCATGTTGCTTTTGAACAAACGTCCTCTAACCAACCTCTGTGCTGCAGAAGCTTCAGCACCACTTAATAGCAGACTGAGTGGGTGTTTACATTTGACCCTGTAGATCAGAGAAAATACAGAATAAATGTTAACTTGGTTTTTATAGTGTAAACAAAAAGAGTTCAAAGCAAACATTAAAAGCCCAGAATTTCCCGGACACGACTAAGAGCGTCATCTCACTCCTGATAGGCTGGCAGTTTTAACCCATCAGCATCAAGCCCCGCCCAGAATATTACATCTTTTAAGGTCAGGTGTGTGTTTCAGGGTGGGGCTCGGGCCATTCAGATGGTCGTCCAGGCTCGCATCATTAAGCACCTGCTGTTCACCCAACAGAGCACCTCAGACGGACAGACGCTGCACAGGTGAGGCCTCTCTGGCGTGGAAATGGTAAAGGTGAGATGTCACATGATGAAAAATGAACATGACAGAAAATGGGAACAGTGGGACGGTAACTGGTCTTTCTCTGTGCCCAGCGGTTCTCTGAAGTCGCGTCAGTTTAGCACCCAGCATCCTGCGTCACCTTTGACCTTTGGTGTCCTCGGCTCCCCACAACTCTAATGTGTTTCTATTATTTTGTCCACCCTCCAGTCTGACAGAGGTAGGACGGCGGGAGCAGGACAGAGCATTGGCGGCTGCCCTGAGCGACAGCCTCTGGTTGGCCGGCCAGGAGGCGAGCGCGACTGTCACCTTGGTAACCGAAGACTATTGCATCACATCTCACCTGGACAACAAACTGGACACCTTCACAGAGAGGGTACCGCCCTTCCTCACAGCGCTGCGACCGCTGCTCCGTCCCCAGCATCTCGTCACGTCTGTTCTTTCATGTCTTTCAGCTGCAGCTCTTCACGTTCAGCGAGAAGGACGCCATCACCAACTTCATCCTCGACCACATCCAGTGCGTGAGTACAGCATCCAATCAGGACGCCAGAATCAGGTCACTTTACCTTAGCGCTAACTCTTCAGCTTGTTGCATTAATGCGGATTCAGGTGAGAAAAACGAGCACTGATCTTTACGCACGTGACACGACTACACAAAAATACGGCCTGCGATCGGACGTGGAGCTCCGTCGGCCCGCTGTCGGAAAGGTTTCGGGTGGTTTGGAGCCCGCCGTGCGACGTGACCTGTTGTCTTGTTTTTTTGTTTTTTGTTTTTTTGTTTTTTTTTATTGACAAAGCACAAAATACAGATATACAAATACAAAATAGCAAACACAATGTCAGGGGGTTCGTATAAAAAAGCAAAATAGACACAGTCTATTATAGAATCACATGATATTGAACAGGGAACATAGGTTTATGGTTTTGACAGCTTTTTGATTTTGAGAATGTTGTATGGTTTTAACATATTGTTTGGTTTCATTTAAAAAGCACCGAAAGGATGGTTTTGCGTTAGAAAATTTCGACTTATGTATATGAAATTTGGCCAATAATATCAATAAGTTAATCAAATAAAATTTGTTTGCCCTGTGCATGGGGTATGACCTGTTGTCTTGTAGTTTCAGGAGGAGGGCAGTCATGGCGTCATCCTTTTCCTCTACAGCCTCATCTGCTCCCGTACCATCGAGAGGTAACCACACAGCGAAGCTCTGCGATGTTAGCGCCCCCGACAGGAAACAGTCTGTTACAGCCCGCTGGTTAACTGAGCCGTTGACCATGTGCGTCCTCTTCCTCACAGGCTGAGGCAGGACCTAGACTCTCCTACGTCATACCTGCTGCACCTCAGCCCGGGCAGCTCTGCCTGTCGGCAGGTAAGAGCTCACCTGACTCATGTTGCCAGACTTCATTTAGAAACCTTTGTGTAAGGCGTTTGTACCTGTGCACTATCAGATACCAGGCCCGCACCTGTCACAGGTGTGTCGTTTTACATGCGTGCTCCGCCCACTCATGTCATTCACTCAGCAGCTTCCTCGTCGCTCTGTGTTCAGCTAAAAATGTCTCAATCAGAGAGCACCATGGGAAGTAAAAATCTGCTGGGGGGGCTAAACAGCTGACAGTGACATCATCAGACATGGATGCTCGTTTGTGTTTCCTGCTGATGTCGCCTCCGTCAGCCTCAGCTCTTGTGCTGACCGCTCAACGATCAGAGCGTCTCTGTTAGCCTGAGAGCGTCTGCGAGCGTGCGCACCTGTAGAGTGCAAAGTGGGAGGAGCCTCCAGGTCTCTGCTTGTGTATGCAGGCTCTGCTGAACCTGCTACTGACCGGCAGAGCCAGCCCGCACCTCTTCAACGGGATGCGGCACTTCGGGCAGGACGGCCTGCCTCTGCAGCGCCCCCTGCAGGGCGTCCTGTCCCGCAGCGATGTAGGATATCTGCGCTGGAGTCGAGAGGAGATGGAGCGCGGTGCGCTGCCGCAGGTAGAGACCTGTAACCGAGCACCGCTGGCACACACACACTCACAGCTATGTGTTGATTACAGGTCTTTCGGTGACATGAGGAAGCAGCAGAGCACAGCTGATGTAATCAGGATACTCACAGTAACCTTTCAGGTGTGCCTCAGGTGTGTGTTACATCCGTCTATGCTGCTCTCATCAGTCTTCAGTCCTTCAGTTTCTCATTTTAAACAGCTGACGGCCGGCAGCTGTGAGCTGAGGCTGGGAAGCAGCTCGTGGTGCTGTGAGGTCGTTTCACTACAGCAGAAACCAGTAAAACTGTGTCCTTTACTGGTTTACCCATTATATTACAGCCTGATACACACCGTTTGGGCTCTGTGGATTCAATTCAATTTTATTTATATAGCGCCAAATCACAACAAAAGTCGCCTCAAGGCGCTTCATAGATACAGAGAAAAACCCAACAATCATATGACCCCCTATGAGCAGCACTTTGGCGACAGTGGGAAGGAAAAACTCCCTTTTAACAGGAAGAAACCTCCAGCAGAACCAGGCTCAGGGAGGGGCGGGGCAATTTGCTGCGACCGGTTGGGGTGAGAGAAGGAAGACAGGATAAAGACATGCTGTGGAAGAGAGACAGAGGTTAATAACAGATATGATTCAATGCAGAGAGGTCTGTTAATACATAGTGAGTGAGAAAGGTGACTGGAAAGGAAAAACTCAATGCATCATGGGAATCCCCCGGCAGCCTACGTCTATTGCAGCATAACTAAGGGAGGATTCAGGGTCACCTGGTCCAGCACTAACTATATGCTTTAGCAAAAAGGAAAGTTTGAAGCCTAATCTTGAAAGTAGAGATAGTGTCTGTCTCCTGAATCCAAACTGGAAGCTGGTTCCACAGAAGAGGGGCCTGAAAACTGAAGGCTCTGCCTCCCATTCTACTTTTAAATACTCTAGGAACAACAAGTAGGCCTGCAGAGCGAGAGCGAAGTGCTCTAATAGGGTGGATCTAAGGAGCATGGAAAGAAAAGCGTCTGGATTTCTTTAAGCTTCTTGAAGATGTTTTATCCGAGAAGCTTCTTCAGTTCTGAGAGCAGATGGTGGCCCTATGGGGAGTGTCCCTAAGAGGGTCGTGGATCCCCTATTGATCCTCTGCCTCAGAGCTGGAGAAGCTTCTCAGATGAAACGCCTCCAAGTAGTCCAGATGCTTTTCTTTCCACGATAACCATGACTGAGGACCTGTGGATAATGTGTTATCACTCATCCACCTGGATCATTCTGTTAGGGGCGTGGCCTCGTTGATGCGGGTGTACCGTTAATTTGGGTGAGAGCGATACTAGGATTTCATCATTTTATGGATGCAGCTTGCTAAACACTCCCTGTTAGCTGATATCCAAGCACTCCACCCTCTCCACCTTCAAACAAAACCAAAAACTAATATTAGCCAACAGGTGCCATTAGGCACTGACCAACCACCTCCACCTACATCAGAGACTTTCTCCACGAGGCTCTTTAAGTTAAACAGCTGAGTTCTTACAGTCAGAAGAGCGCCCCCTGCCTGTCTCCCTCCGTCTGCAGGTGGGCAGCATGCTGAAGACTCCCAGGTTCCCGGTGTGGGTTTGCAGCATCAACAGCAGCTGCTCGGTCCTGTTCAGCGCCACACGCTCGCTGCTGTCAGACTGGAGGGCGGAGCATCTGTTCCAGCTGTACTACTACTGTGGGCAGAGCTCGCAGACAGCGACGGCCAGGCTGACAGTCGGTGAGCGTTGCGGTCGCACGTCTGCAGGTCTGACCGGGATCCCTCTCGTGCTTCATCCACCATCTGTTTCCTGTTTCCTGTACAGATACTCACTCCCACCACTGGGAGGCGTCGTCCAGAGATGGAGGAGATCCAGAGAAACGGTTTCCCTCACTGGAGATGACCATCAGGACCAAGTGGGACGGAGCTGTGATCGCCTGGAACGGCACCTCCCCCTTCTACTGAACATCACCACAAACACTGGTCTGCGGTCGTCACAGCACTCCCGACTGTTTTTACCATTATAGGAAACCAGATGTTAAAAGTCCCGTTACGAACCTCACGTCTTCAGTAACCACTGATGATTCGGACCAGAGGTGTTGGCGAGGTCACCGTGGTCACTGACGAATCAGCGAACACAGCCGAGCACAAACAGAGCGTCTGGAGGTAAAATGAATCCAGACTCCAGCCTGTTTGCATCCCACGTTATTCCCTGCTGTCCTCTGGACTCGTCTCTGTCATCAGACCCTGACGACTTCCTGTTCTTGTCTCCGTGTTTCTGGGTGAAGCTGAAGGCGGCTCTGTAGTAGCGTCACGTCTGCCCAACGTTTAACCTTTGAACCAAACTGGTGTTTGTCTTTGATGATGTTTCAGTCTCGTGTCCTCATCTTAAATTGTTTGATCTTCGTTTAGCTGAAAGTCTTCTGTTCCTTTGAAATGTAACAGAAATAAATCTGACTCATGTTTAAACATCCATGGAAACTTGTGTTTGTTTGGTGTGATCTCCGGGCTTGGAGGTTTCTGTTCCCTGTCACACTGCTTCAGTGAGGTCCGGCTCTGAGGAGGCCCACGGCTTCCTGAAAGCCGTCCGAGGCTTCAGTGAACATGATCAGCTTCCTCTGATTTTACCTTTGGCATGACAGGCTGCTGCTGACAAAGAGCCTAAAGACAGTTTAAAACGGCTTCTTTGCTGGAGAGCTGTTGCTCAAGGGCACTTTAAAAACTACAAGAACATCTGACTCAAGACTTTTGCACATTACTGTTGTATTTATACAGCACGCATCAACACACTGGGGCCAACACAAAGGATAGAAGGGCCTTCAGCACCGTGGCCACAGGTCTGTGGTCACATGTCTGAAGATGAAACAGCGTTACAGTAAACCGAGCAGCTGGATACGGGAGCATGGAGCAATGTCGGAGTTATCCAAGGTTACAACATTCTCAGGCAAAAGTTCTGGTGACTAAAGTGAGCTCGAGGTTCCTGAGTCTGTGTTTCAGAGCCGACTTTCCGACCTCTCAACTCTGTTCAGGTCTAAAAGCTTCAGCCAGCAGTGATCAGAGCTGCCTGTGTGTAGGACGGACCGACACCCGAGAAGCTCGAACGCGGCTGATTGAAACACGAAAACTTCAACCCTGGAGTTCTCTAGCACATCAAGACTATCTCTCCACACCGTTACATATTCCATATGTACGGGGTACGATCTCCCTTGGTCGTGGCGCGTGGATACTTCTTTAAGACACTCCGGCGTGCCAGGCCACGCCCCACAGCTCACGTGCGTGGTTCACATGACCAGCGGGGCTCCTGTCATTGCTCGAGTGGGGCGGCTCCTCGCCTCTGCAGCTTGAGCCACTGCTATTACTGCTGCTCATGCAACTGCATGCTGTTTCCCCCTGGCGTCTTGCCCGAACTTTGCTGGTTTATGCGCCAGCCGCACCACGCTGTGTCTGATACGTCAGCCAGCGAGCGTGTGTGTTCCAGCCTGCGGCGCCAGCTGTGCACGAGTGTATCGTCCTCAAGTTGACTCTTGAGGCTCCTCTGTCAGTCGGCCCTCGCTGTGGCGAGTGAGAGCTCTCCAGCCTGTAGCGCCATCTCTCTATCTGGCGTATTTCCCACATGTCATAGGTTTATGCGACCAGCTAGAGATCGCACGGTTACTGTGTAACCTGGGTCCTCTTAGGCTACGTTCACACTGCAGGCGAAAGCGCATCGAATTTCTATGCGACCCATATCCGATCATGGTGTGACAGTGTGAACGGCACAAATCCGATATTTTCAAATCCGACCTGGGTCACTTTCGTATGTGGTGCTGAATCCGATGTTTTAGAAAGCGACTGCTGTTTGATGGGGGGTTTTTTTGTTTTTTTATATAAACTTTATTTAACAAACAATGAGTATACAACATACGAACAGATGGGGACTTCCGGTGGCTCGTAGCACCGCATGGCCGCATAGAGAGTGACCTCTGGCACCAACCGTGTGTTTCCCCGGACTCGAGAGCTGTATTGGGGCTACACTGCCATTTTTCGACGCAAGAATGAGTGGGGATAAATCTAAAAAGGGAGGATACGGGCTACGAAACATTCTTGACTGTGAAATGGAGAAGGACGCCGCGGCTAGTGAGGCAAGCCTCGCATCGGGACAAGATGGCGACCGAGGAGAAGGTCTGGGTTGGCTTCGGGATGCTGTGTCGGAGTCTTACACGCCTCTCTGCAGCTTCTCTCCTCCTGCTACCCCCCCCAAAAACCCATCTCCATAGAGACTGTGTCAGCTCCCAAACAGACAAAAAACAAACTAAAAACCAGCAACAAACAACTTAAACATAAACAATTACAAAGAAAGAACAATACAGTATCCACATCTGAACCAAAGAGTAAAACAGTGAAATGTGGATTATTAAATATTAGGTCTCTCTCCTCCAAGTCTCTGTTAGTACATGACTTAATAGTTGATCAACAAATTGATTTACTCTGCCTTATAGAAACCTGGTTGCAGCAGGATGATTATGTTAGTTTAAATGAATCAACACCCCCGAGTCATTCTAACTACCAGAAACCTCGAAGCACAGGCCGAGGGGGAGGTGTGGCAGCAATCTTTCACACCAGCCTATTAATTAATGAAAGACCAAGACAGACTTTTAATTCATTTGAAAGCCTGATGCTTAGCCTCGTCCACCCCAGCTGTGAAACTCTGAAACCAGTCTGACTTGTTATCATCTATCGTCCACCTGGGCCTTACACAGAGTTTCTGTCTGATTTCTCAGACTTTATATCTAATTTAGTTCTGAGCTCAGATAAAATAATTATTGTGGGTGATTTTAACATCCATGTAGATGCTAAAAATGACAGCCTCAACATGGCATTTAATCTGTTATTAGACTCAATTGGCTTCTCTCAAACTGTAAAAGAACCCACCCACCACTTTAATCACACTCTAGATCTTGTTTTAACATATGGCATAGAAACTGAACATTTAACAGTGTTTCCTGAAAACCCTCTCCTGTCTGATCATTTCCTGATAACATTTACATTTACAATAATTGATTACACAGCGGTGGTGAGTAGACTTTATCAAAGTAGATGTCTTTCTGAAAGCACTGTAACTAAGTTTAAGAATATAATCCACCCACTGTTATCATCTCCAATGCCCTGTACCAACATAGAGCAGAGCAGCTATCTGAACCCAACAGAGGTCGATCATCTTGTTAATAATTTCACCTCCTCACTACGTACGACTCTGGATACTGTAGCTCCTGTGAAAACTAAGGTCTCTAATCAGAAGTACCTGACTCCGTGGTATAATTCTCAAACACGTAGCCTAAAGCAGATGACTCGTAATCTGGAGAGGAAATGGCGTGTCACAAATTTAGAGGATCATCATTTAGCCTGGAGAAATAGTTTGCTGCTTTATAAGAAAGCCCTCCACAAAGCCAGAACATCTTACTATTCATCACTGATTGAAGAAAATAAGAACAACCCCAGGTTTCTCTTCAGCTCTGTAGCCAGGCTGACAAACAGTCAGAGCTCTTTTGAGCCAACCATCCCTTTAACGTTAACTAGTAATGACTTCATGAACTTCTTCACAAATAAAATTTTTATCATTAGAGAAAAAATTACCAGTAATCATCCCACAGATGTAATATTATCAGCTACTCTTAGTACCATTGATGTTAAGTTAGACTCTTTTTCTCCAATTGATCTTTCTGAGTTAACTTCAATAATTACTTCCTCCAAACCATCAACGTGTCTTTTAGACCCCATTCCTACAAAACTGCTCAAAGAAGTCCTGCCATTAATTAATTCTTCGATCTTAAATATGATCAACCTATCTCTAATGATCAGCTATGTACCACAGGCCTTCAAGCTGGCTGTAGTTAAACCTTTACTCAAAAAGCATCTCTAGACCCTAACCCTAACCCTAACCCTCTAGACACTGACTACAGCTGAGGGACGGCCCTTACTAACACTACAGCGGAGCCACGGCGAGGATGACGAGCTGCTCCTTCATCCTGTCTGAAGCTGCAGCCTGACTGAGTGTTACACAGTCAGCTGAAAACTGACCTGAGTGCAGTGCAGCGGCACCACCAACAGAGGGCAGAGCTGATCTATCTATCGCTCTATCAGGCGTGATGGATGCTGAGAGAGGGTCTCTGAGTTACTGTCAACATTTCAAATTCATTTCTAGTTACAGAAACAGAAATATGCTTTCTTTTGGAAACAGTGGCAGTCTGAGTCGAACCCAGACTTTTGAACCATCAGCTGAAGAGCTGTTAGCTGAAAACTCTGCACACCTCAGCATGCTGTGCATGGATATGTATGCTCACCGTGACAGCCGTCTTATTTTCCTGTCATGTTTTTGGATATGCGCAGACTCATGTATGGAAGGTGTCTAAGTCCTGCCATTAATTAATGCTTCGATCTTAAATATGATCAACCTATCTCTAATGATCGGCTATGTACCACAGGCCTTCAAGCTGGCTGTAGTTAAACCTTTACTCAAAAAGCATCTCTAGACCCAGCAGTCTTAGCTAATTATAGGCCAATCTCCAACCTTCCTTTATATCAAACATCCTTGAAAGAGTAGTTGTCAAACAGCTAACAGATCATCTGCAGAGGTTTATTTGAAGAGTTTCAGTCAGGTTTCAGAGCTCATCACAGCACAGAAACAGCTTTAGTGAAGGTTACAAATGATCTTATGGCCTCTGACAGTGGACTCATCTCTGTGCTTGTCCTGCTAGACCTCAGTGCAGCGTTCGATACTGTCGACCATAATATCCTATTAGAGCGATTAGAACATGCTGTAGGTATTACAGGTACTGCACTGCAGTGGTTTGTATCATATCTATCTAATAGACTCCAGTTTGTGCATGTAAATGGAGAGTCCTCTTCACACACTGAGGTTAATTATGGAGTTCCACAGGGTTCAGTGCTAGGACCAATTCTGTTTACATTATACATGCTTCCCTTAGGCAGCATCATTAGAAGGCATAGCATACATTTTCACTGCTATGCAGATGACACCCAGCTCTATCTGTCCATGAAGCCAGATAACACACACCAATGAGTTAAACTGCAGGAATGTCTTAAAGGCATAAAGACCTGGATGGCCGCTAACTTTCTGCTTCTTAATTCAGATAAAACTGAGATTATTGTACTCGGCCCTGAAAAGCTTAGAAATATGGTATCTAAGCAGATTCTTACTCTGGATGGCATTACCTTGGCCTCCAGTAACGCTGTGAGGAACCTTGGAGTCATTTTTGACCAGGACATGTCCTTCAACGCACATATTAAACAAATATGTAAGACTGCTTTCTTCCATTTGTGCAACATCTCTAAAGTTAGAAATATCCTGTCTCAGAGTGACGCTGAAAAACTAGTTCATGCATTTATTACTTCCAGGCTGGACGACTGTAATTTATTATTATCAGGAAGTCCTAAAAACTCCCTGAAAAGCCTTCAGCAGATCCAAAATGCTGCAG